CTCAAGAAGAGGTTCAAATTGCACTGTGAGGTATTTCAGTAATACAGTTAAGTTTCCTGATAATGAGGAGTTTGCAACCCCGGAATTGCCCATTGGGAAAGAGTGCAAGAATGCCTTTCCTGAAATATGTAAAGAAATAAAGAGACTCTTGGGTGACGGTAATGCCCAAAGGCAGAAAGATGGATCAAATAAGTGATTTCCTTTAAGGCCCTTTCAGAAATGGTGCTCTTTTCTTTGAAGTTGAGAGGGGTTCTTTGTTTTGTCCTAAGGATCTATACTTGTATCAGACCATCCAAAGTCTGCCCTTAATTAAGGAGAAAAGAACTAATATTTGACTGCCTACTGTTTACTGAGCACTGTCCTAACTTTCAATTTATCTTACCTAATTTTCACAATAATTCTGACAGGTATAATGAGTCTAGCTCATAGGTGGGGAAACTGATGCTCAAGAGATTGTGCTTTGCATAAAGATACAGCTAATTCATGGCAGTACTAGGACTCCTCATATCTAACCTGGTGTTCCCCCTTCACACGCCTCCCTACATCACTACTTGAAGTGTTGAAGTTATAACCCATCAAGTAGTCCATTAGGAACTAGGACACAACATCTCCAAAAATTCTGCTCTAATTCAGGGGGAAAGTAAGAATTTGTCTCATATACCTAAGTAAGTCAATTAAAGAGGTGGCTAACTTTTGTGCTCTAACCTCTTATTTAAAGGAGTCAAAGAAAGTCTTACCCAAACTCAAGTGTTTCTCACCATACTGATGCAAGACCAATGACTTCTTATAAAGACTAATGAAAAGCCATCTATCAGCTTAACAGGGATGCAAGTTATTTTGCAGGTGGAATCATGTGGTCATGGGCTTTATTAGTAAGTGTTGCTTATAGTTATCTCTGATTTCTGAAAACCCATGTTTTGTTACTTTTTCTACATGAAGAAATTTGGCTTTGGTTCTATTAAAATAATTTGCAGAACATGTTTTTTCAAGAGAATCAAACCAACTAATGAAATGTCATTTGAGATTCTGCCAAAATAGATCTTAGGGTCTGCTTTATGCCATTAACGCACCAGTCCATCTCTAATGGAAGCTGCAAAACTTCATGTTGGTCCATTTATGGGATCTTTAACTGAAGATTCTGTTCTGCTAAAAACGCCTGGTCTGAAATCCTGGATACCAGTTATTCACTAAACTGAGCATGTTTGGCAAGTAACAAAAACATAATTTCTATGATTTTATGTAACTTCTATTAAAATAATATCTTTTCTTCTTTTTAACTCAAGAGCCATTTTGTGATTTGAACTGGACATCAGTGAATGGACTGACAAAGCAATTCCAGTCTAGGCCACAATGACAAGCCAGTCTCTTAGCCAAACAACATGTAACGAACCTCCTTCCAGGAGGATTGGCAGAACAGCAACACCTTAAAAAAAAAAAAAAACCTACATTAACTGTAGGTAACAGATACTTAACTGAACATGTGAGAGGCAAAGTGCTACAACATAAGTTAAAAGGTCATCCAGTCGAACCTCTAACCAATGCTGAGATCCTTTCCACATCATATAGTCTGTTTGATGGTTACTATTACCTAAGGCAGCTCCTTCCATGGTGAGCCACCTTTTTGAGAATGTTCTCCCTGACACAGAGCCCAAATCTGTGGCCCTATGGCCTTTAATCAGTGGACCTCATTCCACCCCTTTGAACCAGAGTCTTGCTCTAATTCACTAATTGTATTCCTCTCTCTTTCCCAGGCTAAATCTCCCCAAATCCTTCAAATATTCTTCAGATGTCATAAATTTTAAATTCCTTCACCATCTTTGTTATGCTTCAATTTGTTTTTAATTTCAAAGGATAGCTCCCAAAGATGACTGTAACATTCCAACATCACAGGCTTAGGAAAGATGAAGTGTCATCTCTCTTGTTCCAAGGTCACTATATCAATTAGCTGTTTGAAGGCATGATCATTTCTTTTCAGTATGCTTTCTACCTAGTGTGATGAATGTAAGGGAAGGCAGCTTTCCTTTTAAACACAAATACACTCATGGAACAGAAATGAAATTTGAAAAGAAGAAAGAGAAGAGAGCACATCCCCCTCTTATCCCAAAATTGGTGCTCAACCAGATTGCTTGTGTGGAGTACTGTTTGTCTGAACAATGAGATACACATCTTTTCACTGGTTTTGAATTTCTAGTTAAGTCTCAGAAGTATTATAGTTGCTTTTAACTGAAATTTGATGCTGAATCTGGAAGAATTATGGAATAGCCGAGAAGATAAATGAGCAAATCATTGACCTAACACTGGAAGTCACCAGTGTCCTCCAAAGGTATCATTCATGAATAGAATCCAGTCCTCTGTTAAAATCTGCCTCCTCCCTCCAACAAATCTAAATTGCTTAAAACAAATAATCCTAATCCAAATATATTATTTTGGCCAGTGGTTTTTACCCTTCTTTCAGAAATTGACACATTGCCAAATCAATCCATTTGACTTTCATTTCTAGTTACACTCTTGCCACTTTACTCAGGAAGAGATGGTAACATGAAATGAGTAGAAAAGACAGGGAAAAAGAAAGGCCAGGAATGCTAATGGCCTAATCTAATCTGCAGAAAGGACAACTGGCCCTGCATAATCAAAATTAAATATAAATATAATAGAAATAACAAAAGCATATAAAGAAATAAAAAGCCTTGTATAGGTAAAGGAAAAAGCACAAAATCCTATGAGGATACAGTCTACACAAAGCCATAATAAAATACCATTAATGTCAGCGAGCTATATGATTTCACAGATTCTCCCAAACCTGACTCTATGACATAAATATGATGGATGCATTTTCATTGGAAATGGAAAAGTTTTGCCATATATTTAGTAACTTTATTAAAAGAAGAAAAAAATGGAAGCAGACATGGACTCAGTGTGAGGCAGATCAAGCCAAACTGAATTATGAGAAAGCAACTCTTTTTCATCCACCATGAGTAAGAATTCATTTTTATTTAAGAAGGCTCATCTTAGCAAATGTTGTCATGGCAATAACCACCAGTAAGCAAACCGGTGAGTTTAGTTCCTGGTCTAGGTTAAGATGACCACATTTAATTAGTATCCTTTCTCAAGTTCTATTTGAGAAATTTCCATGTGACCGGCAAAGCTCTACTCGGCACTAAGTCATTTATTCAACTAATATTTATGGAGCACCTACAATATGGTCAGGGATTGTTCTGAAACTAGAGATGTATCAGTAAATAAGTGTCCATAAGGCCTAATCTGGAATTCACACAACTAAGGCGGGGAGAAAAGCTCTAAATTCCCATGTATCTCTGCTGATGGGCCACAGATGGGTGACTGTACCTTACAGAAAGGCTGAGAGGAATAACAGTGAAGGAAGGGACCAAGAGCAGAATTTTCTAATCCCCTTATGAGTATGGCCTATTCCCTAGGGCCCTAGGGAATAAGAATTTCAGAATGCAAGAGCGATTCTAGAAGCTGTTGTTCTATGACTAAATTTGTCCAACCTAACAGTCTACATTCACAAAGCAGCTTTAGTTTCAACATGCTTGCTGCTGTGGAAACAAAGTTAGGTCATGATATGGGATATTGGATTTTTGCCCTAAATGAAAGACAATAAATCTAAACCTATGGACATTTCCTCACAGTTTAAACAGACAAGTTCTTCTTCCCACCTTGATCAACTTGTTTTCTGAAAACTTTTATAGTTGCTGGCTTAGTGGAGAAACAGGGAGGGAAAAGCAACAATTATTATAAATGATTTTGGTTGGTGTTTATTAAAATGATTTTTCTTTCCTGCAGAAACAGATTCAAAATAAAAGCAATTCAAACTACTAGGATATCTTTCTCTCACCCATAGGATCAGAACAAACACAGTGAAGCCAACCAAAAGTATCAATCCCTTATACAATACGTATAATCTGTATACAAGAGATGAGTCACTCTGAAATCTGCTAGAGGAACACTGGAGATGCTTTATCGATATCGTGTCTTTATGCACCTCATTTCTTTAAAATTAAACAGCTTTCAAACATCAACGTATCAGGACTGAGATTGCCACCATCTACAACAACAGAACTGCATATCCTGCCCTTATTCCATTATGCATCCCTCAGTGATACCAAGCGGCAAGCTACAGAAACATCCAACAGCATCAACAGCGTACAGGTTTAATTATTTCCCCAATTTGCATTTATATCAGTGAACAAATTGGAAGGCATCAAAGTATGGCACTAAAGAAATTAGTAACACGTATCCAGCAGCACATCTTCCATTTCGAGTCTTGTTTTAAAATTGGCTAAGTAAAGGCATATACACCTCCATTTGAATTGGAGATTTGCAGTAACACATGCATATAAAGGGAGGGAGGAAAAGACAGGAAAGAATGGGGAGACAGGAGAGAAAGGAAAAGAAAAGGAAATAGGAAAGAATGTATGGTCGTGAGTCTGAGAGTAACATCACTACATGAAGGAGGTGACAAATGCCAGCTCCACCTGCTTCCACAAGAGAATTTTTCTAAGGTTACTGAAGATACAAAAATGGTTCATGAGACTTTTCATCTGTTGCTATTGTCACTTGTCATACCAAAAACATGTACAAAATTCTAAGCCTTGGCCTGTCCAAGATGGATAGTACCAGGAAGTAAAAGATGTCACCTGCTATCAAGGACTGTGCTCTGCTTAGAACTCTGCATCGCAGTCCATTCATCCACAGTATTTGGGTCAGATCAGGTCTGTTTTCTCGTACTACTCATGATGTCTTAGAGCTAGTTTTTTATATTAGAATATCACCAGCCTTTTTTTTTTAATTTTTCTAACGTTTTCATTTACTTAAAGGGCTGGATAGATGAGAGAATAGAAAAAGAAAATGGTAGAGATTTAGAGGGGAAAGAACACGAAAGGAAAAGTATTTTATTTTCCAACAAATCCACCCTAGAAAAGGTAGTAATGAGACTTTGAGAAAGAGTGTTGATTCATGGACTTCCCTTTTTTTTTTATTTCAATGTAATACATTTAAGGACATCAATGTACTAAAATGTTTGGTCTGTGAAAGAGTGGACTCATTAGCACCAAAAGGAGTCATGGAGCTTATATATATTACTAAACCAGTGATGGTTACTGTTGGTCATGGGAAAAGGTTTCATTTCATTTTTACATCGCAAAGTTCTTGAAAGTGCCTGTGGACAAGAGAAATAACACTTTTCAACGTCTCCATAGAGTCATCGACACACACCCCAGAGGCAGTACTTGGCCTCCCCAGTTTGGGTTTATCTGGTAGACAAGAAAGCCAGGGCCCCCAGAAGCCCTAAAGCACAGCCCCCACATGCACCCACTGACGTGCAGGAGGGATCTCCCTACGGTACATTTTCCCCTGGACTGTTCAGGAATGCGCTTTTACCTGCTTAAAAAAAAAAAAAAAAAAAAAAAAGAACAAAAGCAACATGCTTTGCAGATCATGGAGCGCCTAGTGCAATGTTCTCCTTGCTCCAACTCCTGACTGCAAAAGGGTGAAACCATTATATGTTCTGCTAAATGCTGGCCTGCGGACAAAGCCTCTGGGCTGCCATGCTTTGTAAGCCTGGATCCCACAGGAGTCAGAAGGTCTGAGAGCGGGAGCCATAGTCATCACCAGATCTCCCCCAGCAATGTGGGGGCCCACTGGGGCAGCTGCTGATTCCTTTCACTTCTCCTCGCCTCAGCCTTTAGTTGAAATTACAACAAGTCAAATAGCTGATGCTTTTCCCTTCTCCGGGTAAGGGCGAGGATACATTGTTCACAAGTGTGTTCTGCCTGGCTTCACTGATGAGGCGGCACGCTAAGTCAAGGAATAGTTTCTCCACGTTATCTGATTCCTTGGCTGAGGTCTCCAGGTAATACATGTCCTGAGCTTCTGAGAATTCTTCAGCTCTCTGCTGGGAGACCTCTCTCCTTTCAGCCAGATCAATCTTGTTTCCTAGAACAGGGATAAATCAAAGAAGGAAACATCACTGGACTTTGTACAGGCTCGGAAGCATCAAAATTCAATTTCATATCTGAAGTCAAATCAGACACATGAGCAAGTAAAGCAAAGCAAATGTGGCTGTGATTACTGGAATGTTTAAGATATCAATGCCATTTGTAATGGCAAAGAACTGGACACAACCCAAATGCCCCTCAGTTGGGCACTGGCTTGAATGAAGTATGGTACATCTGCACAATGCAGTGATTTGCCTCGGTAAAAAGCAATGAGGAATGTCTCCATACACTGCCACGGAATGAGACATGAGGATATACTGTTAAGCAAATAAAGCAAAACAGATAAAAGGTGTAGAACATACAACTGTCTAAGAAAAAGGGATTAAAAAAATACACACATGCACATTCACAAACTTTATTTTCTTGATGTGAGAATAAGCCAACATTTTAGTTTTAAAAGTAATGGCTACCCATGAAAGGAACAAGGTTGAGGAGATAGGGAGGGACAGAAACTCGACCTCTCTAAATACACCTTGTCCTAATAGATTTGACTTCAGAATCTTCTAAATGTTTCACATAATTATACAGTTACAACTATATGATTAATAGAAAATTAAATTTAAAAAGCAACCCCTACCAATGGAAAAGCAAAATGAAACAAATGAACCTGTTTATCATGAAATGGCATAACCACACAGAGAGGAACTATTCCAAGTGAGTTCAAGATCTAGGATTTTAACCATGCGTCCTCAGTGGTATATACTTACTCTAAGGACAAAAAGACCTGAAAGAAAACATCTTGAACTGTTACAGTAATCATCCTGTCAGGGGCAGTGTGAGAACTGTTATTCTAAGGCTGCTTTGTGGGCTTTAGGGGATAAAGCAAATGAGTTAATTGTGCTAGTGTCATTGGGTCTGAGATTTGGGGCATGAGAAAAAGGAAATAGAGAATCTCGATTAATGAGGTTAAGTAAAATTTTTACAGTCCTGAATTATAAATGGAAATATCAGTGTGAATAACTCATGGTGGATTTTATCTTTAAAAATTTTTCTACCTCTGTTCTCCTGGAAACCTGACAAAAGTGGTACATCAACTGTGTACCTGGCAATACAGCTTATGGTAAAAGTGACCCCTGACTGATAAATTCCATCTGGCCTGGGAATTCTATGTATGAATTCTAAACTTCTAGTGGAAAGCCACAACTTTGCGCATCCCTGAGTGGGGGGACTCTTCACTTGAAGAGACCCTGAAAGTTAGGTCCATGGAGTTGTTACAAGAGAGACTGGTCCCTGCTAAGGCTTCTAGGTCACAGCAGGTCCATTAGGTGCCTGACATGAGCCTTTTTCCTTATACTGGAACTGGCCTGAAAGGTCCTGGACCACTATGTGGACTGCTATCGAGGATTACTTCCCCTGAGAGGAATGTCTGATGCTGACCTGCTATGAAGCCATATTTTCTGTCCTGTATTCATCTAAGTGAATGTCATGCCAAGTGTGGCCTATTGTAGTCTTGTCAGTCAAAGTGTTTGGTGGAGCCTAATAGATAACTCCCTGTGGGCACTACAGAATGCACCACACACACACACTAGTTCTGTCCACTGAAAAGCCTAAAAGCAATGACCACCCACTAATAAGGAAGATTCTTATCACCTTAGTTGTGGCCTCTAAATGTAACTTCACATTAATAATAAGCAGTGCTTCTCGAAGAAATGGCTAATATTCCTGGTCTGGGACAAGAAACGCACAAGTTGTGCCTGGAACGCTTACACCAGAAAGCAAGCGATGGTCATTGTCAAAAGGTCATATCTAAAGGACTAGGAGACCATTTGAAGCAGCTCCGCTCTCAGAGTTGGAACAACTGGACCATCAATGATAACAGTTGCAAGGGCCTAGAATATACTGAATATATTTAAATCTATAATAATATTCAAAATATAAACAAATTTTAGTAGTTACTTCTGGAAGATACTAGGGAAAGAACTCATTTTAAAAAAGGGAATCAAGCATTTTTCTTGCTGTCCTATGAGAACTGTACCTCAGAATATCAACTAGGAAGTATATTTGCTAAAAGGGAAAACAAAAAAACTGAATCTGACCAGGCCTCTAAATTTACCTACAAATCTGCAAGGAACACAGGTGATGGAGGAATATGTCAAAGGATACTACGGTGGCAAAATAACAAAATTCAGACTTGAAAACTCTGAAGGATAAACATATGCTTTAACAAATAAATTCCAAGGGAGAAAAAATGGAGGAATAACCTACAGGCAAAAGGAGAATTAAAAGACACAAAATCCAATGAGAACATATGAGCCTTATTTGGATCTTTGATTTGAACAAATTTTTAAAAAATGTCTGAGTCAGTCAAGGAACTCTGAACATTGTCTAAATTTTTGATGCTATTAAAGAACTTAATAATTTTTAGGTGTGTAAATGGATTTGTGGTTAGGTTCTATTTCTTCAAAAATCTTCTTTTGAAGATATACACTGAAATATTGAAAGATAAATTAATACAACATCTGGGATTTGCTTCAAAATAATCTGAAGGCAAGGGGAGACAACATAGAGGGGGAGCAGATAAAATAAGATTGGCCATGAACTGATAATTGTCGAAGCTGAGAGATGTGTACATGGGGGTTCATGATACCGTTTTTTCTAGTTTTGCTTGTTTGAAATTTTCCATAATAAAAAGATTTTTTTTTAAAGACAGTGCCTCTTTCATACTGAATGGACTAATTATCTCCCATCAAATCTCCATTTCACTTCCTTAGAATCCCAAGGAATAATGCTTTGACTCAAGTTCTCAGGGGCTTTCTGTGGAATAGAAAGAAAGCCCAAGTCCTGAGATGGGTGCTTTCAAGTGCTTCATGACAAACATTCTCCAGTGTGCAAGAGGATTTTCAGGAGCGGGCATAGAGAGGCAGATACTTAACCCAGCAGCCTGAAAGAAAAGTCCAGCAATTTGTTACAAAGCAGCACATTACAATTGGACAAATACAATGTTTGGAGTTGATCTTACATGCTGTGCAAACTTGGGCAAAGAACTTCACCTCTCTGAGCCATGGTTTCCTCATATGTAAATTAGGAATCATTACACATAAATTTCCTAATATGATTCCTGGCACATGGGTGCTAGCTCTAATGCTTACTCTAAGTGTTTACTTAGCTTGCTGTTAACCATAATTTGTGACTTAACAATGTTTCTGAGATTCTCTACCTGGATTTCCAAAATTCAAGTCTTGCTGGAATATACAGCAATGTTCCTTTTTAGGAAGAAAACATTTTAACAGCCTTATGTTATTAACACTTTTCATCACACTAGAGGAGTTTTAAACAATCCAATCCTGTCACTGCAATCCCATTGTTAATGGGCATATTTGTCACCACAGAAAATCATGGGTTGTTTTCTGCTTTACCCCTTTACTAAACAGAGGTTCTACCCTCCCACAAGGTGAAACAAACTGCAGAATTTCCCTTAGTGGATTCTGTCTGAAGTTAGAATTTCTGAAGTCAGCATGAATGTAAGAAGTCCATTTTTTTTAGGCAATAAGCAATTACTTTAAGAATAAATTCTTTATTAACTTAAGAGATACGCTTTACTTCTAGACCAGCAGTTTCTGTGATTTTGTAACTAGATTTTTGGGGTAATGTTTATGTTTAGCAGCCCACAGAACTTTCATGGCAGTCCACCTTCTTCCCTAGAGCCTTCCTTGACAGAAAAATCAATCAGCAATATTTTCTAATTTACTTTTCTAAACCATCGCCTTGGGATATGACCTATTTCATTTTCTCTTCAATTTCAGAAGAACTGAATGTTGATTTCATGAATTATATGGCTGTAGACTATGTTATTGGAAGGTACCAAGGCACAAGCACTATGTGATTATAAATTCTCCGATGGCCACAAATCAATTTCCTTCCTCATTAGTCCTTACTTACCCACTAGCACAGTGATGACCTTGTTGCTGGCATATTGTTCTATCTCCCGCAGCCACTCAGGAAGGCAACGGAAGGATTCCTCACAGGTTATGTCATAGGTGAGGATCAAGGCATTGGCGCTTCGGTAATAACTCTGGGTAATGGACCGAAATCTTTCTTGACCTGCTGTGTCCCAGATCTGAAGCTGTAAAGGCGTAAGACAAAGATCAGGTTGGAGAAGCAGAAAAGAAAGCATTGCCTTGCTTTAGTTTAGAAATGGAAACACCTCACTCAATTTCATGGTTATTTTCTGCCCTAAAAAACAAACAAACAAAAAAATTTTTTAATGCGGTAGGTATAACTGGTTACAGAGAGGGGCTTGCTTTGTTTTTTGGGGTTTTTTATTATATTACCTAAGAATTTTTTTTATTCTTAAAAAAAAAAAACTTATTGCGAGGTGCCTGGGTGATTCAGTCAGTTAAGCAACTGCCTTCAGCTCAGGTTATGATCCCAGGGTCCTGGGATAGAGCCCTGCATTGGGCTCCCTGCTTAGCCAGGAGCCTGCTTCTCCCTCTCTCCCCTTCCCCTCCTCCCCGGCTTGTGCTCTCTCTCTCTCTCAAATAAATAAATAAATAAAATATTTTTTAAAAACCTTACTGAGCATTAATTATGTGTCAAGCTCTAAGCATTTTACATGTAACATACTCAGTGAAGTAGGTACTATAACTATATCCATTTCTCACACAAGGAAACTGAGGCACAGAGAGATTAATTAAGTTGCTCAATGTCCCAGAGCCAATTTAACCAGGCATTGTGGTCCCAGAGCTCGTGCTGGTAACCACAGTGACATATTACAAACGTCGGGATAGAGAGCAAGCTGTCATTCTGTGATTGCTGCCATTTCAGTCAGCAACTGGAGCACGAGAACATCCAACCTCAGCCACCTTTTCCAGTTCGAAATTCAAATGAATCTATTAAGATATTATCTTTGTTAATGAAAACAGGAACAATGCCGTGGCAGATAAAATAATTTCCCTCCACCACTTTTAAGCTCTGAGACCGTGGGCAAGTCCCTTCATCTCTGGGTTTCAGTGGTTTCTCTATAAAAAGACATTAGTAATATCCAAGCCTACTGAAAGTTCACATTTTCTGAAGTCATCTACCAGTTCTAAGACCTAATAACTGATGGTTCTAATAATAAGGAAGAAAATAAGAAACACTTCTCCCCAGATTTCCCTGCACAGAGCAGAAGACTGCAGAGAGCCATACTCCAGAGCCTCCTGAGTGCAAAACAATGCAGAAGGCCTTGAGAAATAACATCAACAATAGTAAGAATGCTCCCTTCTAAACTGCATAAACATCATGTCACAAAATGCATTCACCCCATTAAGAGAACATCATTTCCTCAAGGAAAACCTTCTGGAACATTCAGATTAGGCCAGGTTCCCCATCCCCGCATTTTCTCTTCTGCAACCCACCCTGTAATTCTGCCTCATGGTACCTGACACACTTAAATCATTTATTTGTAATAATATGTTTGATAACGGTCTTTTTCACTAGACTAAAAGCTTCATGTAGGGGAAGTGGTCCATTTTATTCACAGAATCCCCTGCACCAAATAAAATGCCTGCCTGGCAGATAGTAGATGTTCAAATATTTATTGCGGGTCTTTACAACAACCCAGGGAGGTAGGCCAGTTTATGCCACCCCTCCTTTACAACAACCCAGGGAGGTAGGCCAGTTTATGCCACCCCTCCATCTCCTAACTGGCTACCCACAAGGCTGGGGCTCGGACTCCAGGCTTTCTATTCCCAGTTGAGGATGCATCCCACCACCATGCTGCCTTTGCCCCTAGAGCCTGATTTTAATAGACATCTGCATCCAAAGAGGATGAGTTAGTTGGTGTCACCCTCTGTTCATACCAGTTTAGCTAAGAAGACTAATGAGGGACCGGTGGTCCCTGTCCCCGAACAGTGGCACAAGGCTCTCCTTTGATCTGAAGTCGCAGCTGCTCTTTATGATGTACATGAAAGTCTGTGTGCTGAAGGCAACCATACAGATGTTACGGCTTTTGCTGGGACAAAAGCTATTTCTCTGCTCTGCTTTAAACCTAGGGACATGGTTCCCCTCTGCCAGGATATGTCTTAGAACAACAGACTATTGTTTTCATACCACAGTGAGCCTTGAAAAACACTTGTCATTGAATTTAATGCTGTCAATCATTAGAAATCACTATATCCTCATGATTGGCACATCTTGAGAACAGCTCTGAAGGTTAAAACCACTGAAATAGTTTTTAGAAGAGTGATTGTATGGCCCTGCCAAGATACAGGCTGATTTCTCCTAGGGGGCTGCCTGTTTCTAGCCTCATAGCTGAGTCTTAAGAATATCCATATTCGGGGCACCTGGGTGGCTCAGTTGGTTGGGCGACTGCCTTCGGCTCAGGTCATGATCCTGGAGTCCTGGGATCGAGTCCCGCATCGGGCTCCCTGCTCAGTGGGGAGTCTGCTTCTCCCTCTGCCCCTCCCCCCTCTCATTCTCTCTGTCATTCTCTCTCTCTCTCTCAAAAGGAAATAAAATTTAAAAAAACTTAAAAAAAAAGAATATCCATATTCCACTGCTTTTATCGTTCAATTTGGTTTCACTATTTTCTCTGCAACTCATTCACTCCTTTTCAGCGTTTATATGTCATTAATATATGCAGAGTGCTGTGCTAGGCACAGGGAGGATACAGAGATGAAAACAACACAATTCCTGATCTCACAGAGCTCACCGTCTACAGGGAGATCAAACACAGTAAACTAACCATAATAAAAGAGGCGATGTTCTTGGAATAAAGACGTACCAGCAGGAGAGAGTGTCTCCTAGGTTTAATCTCATGCTGGTCAATATGTTCTCAATGCTGCAGCCATGGGCTTTCTAAGCGTCCTCTTCTTCAGCAGGGGCTACCTGTTCGCCCACACCCTTTGTCTCACTGTCGCGATCATGCATTGCAGTCACAGGTACACTGGGGATACCTCTGTGCCAGACTGAGTCCTTTGAAGGCAAGGGCCGCCTCTTACTGAACCTTATAGTCCAGTGCCTTCCTAGCAGAGTACATGGTACATACTGGACACATGTGAGTAATGGCTAGCTGAAGGAAAAAGGGTAACGGAATCACAAAGAAAGGACTGAATAATTCTGCTTAAATGATTGACAGGCAGGATATTAAAGAAGGTTTCACAGATAAAATATTTGAGCTTGGTGACAGTGAGTTCCTAGCGGGCAAATATTTTACCTAACACAGCGCTTGGCACGCGTCATGTACTATACCACAGGATGGATATATGGATGAATGGATGGACCGATGATCAAATGAGTAAATACATGTGCATATGTTCAAGACTTCCTTATCTCTGCATATATACTTGATTACAAAGACAGCCAGCAAATCTTCTATTCATATTATAAAGAATATCCTAAGGTTACAATGTTGTAGCCTGAGCTGAAAGTTTTACTTGTTTCTCATTTATTTATGATAGACTTAAAAAAATGGATAGGAGAAAATTCTACATCTGTTTTAATTGCATTTTGTACTCAAGGTCATTTCAAAAGGCAGATCACATTAAGAGAAGGGCCTCAACTTTGCCTTTACTGACGTGGCACTGAGGCTTAACAGCCACAAGAATGTTTCTAATACCTTCGATTCCCTGCCTTCAATCCTGGAAGCCATCCTAAAAGGAACCAGACTGAAGAGGGGAGGCAAAGGTGGGCCGATGAGAAGTCAGGAGAGAGGCCTGGGGTGCGCTGCTGCCTTGGCGTTCACCAGGCAGGTGATCCTCCACAAACCACCAGCAGCTTCTCTTTCCCACTGACTCTGCAGGACTCTGAGAAAGCCCGCAAACTACTCGCAAAAAGAGACTTAAACATCACCGAGAAGAGGGATTCAGTAAATGTTAAAGAACAAGGACAACAATGAGACAACTGTGTCCCTAGTGAAGCTTGGGCAGCTCTGTCCTCTTCTACAGAAAGACTGAAGACGTTCCTCCTCACATGTCCACGTGTTGTGAGGCCCTTGGATTAATGGGGTCAAAGAGGGTCATTCTAAATCTTGGTTCCACATACATGGCTAGAAAGAAACTCAAGCAAATTAATTAGGACTCATTAATTTAGGAGATTAACCAACTCTTCCTGTTTAAAGATGAAGGTCCAGAGGCCTCAAGCGGTGAGAGCACAGGAACTGTGCTGTGGGTGGGGAGAGGAGTGAAACACACACCTGGCTCCTGAGGAGCCTGGGGTCTCGTGGCAGCATTGGAGGTTGGGAAAAGATGGATTTTAGCTGAATGTAATAAACGCTTAACAATGAGGTTATGGTTTGCAGAAAATGGAAGAAATGTAATCCCTGAACCTGGGGATTCAGAAAAGAAAAATAAGCCTGTTCTTTAATGGCAGGGACCATTTTTAGTCACCCTTATTCATGCCCAGGGCCTGGTATATAGGAGGCACTAACACTTGTGGTCAAAGGAATGAACTCACACAGACATGCGTATATGACTAGGAAACCCAAACTTCTGGAAGCAAAATGCCTGCCACACTAGTTATCTCTACTCAACTCCTAGGGGTGGCGATCACCTCCGCCCTGCTGGCATCATGGTTACAAGTGGCTCTCTCTGCCAATGCCTCCTGGATGCACGCACTCCTGTCTCCTTCTTACTCCCCCTCCCTAGCTCCTTCTCCCCACCTCAGTGCACTATTTTTCTGAGCTTTCTGGTTGGCATTGACATGGATTTCACACCCTGCTTTGTTTTCCAGCACCCCTAGCTCTCCATTCACTATTGTATTTGGTGTGGATGTCTCTGCAGAAGGAACCACTTTGAGGAGTCAGGGCTGGAGGAGACCCTGAGAGTGCTTCTGTCCCCCACTCGGGAGCTTCACCTTACACACTTTTCGGCGTATCTCTGAAATGTGGCAAGAGCACACTGGAGCTTCTCTGCCCTTCCCAAGGCATTTGAAGGCAGGAGTGCAGGTACATCCAGGAGAAGGATGCAAAAGACATGGATTTAAACTTGGGGTGCTTAGGTTGGGATCCAGCTAGAAATCCGATGCCAGTTTTCATTGTGCTGCTGATCCCAGGGCCACTGCTTCTTCCCATGGGACTCAGCTCTGAAAGATCTGAGAGTGGAATTTCACTAACTCTGAGAGGCAGGTAGAGCACAGAGCCAAAGATCAGCCCCTCTCCCCTCCTTCCATGTAATTCAGTCCTATTCCATATTTCTTCCCAACACCTTCCTCCTGTCCTTGCTTCAAAGTGACAGGCCTGCTGTGCCTTCATCCCCCTCTTCTCTCCTGACAGGGGAGACCCCAGGGAGGAAGCGGATGCACCCGCTCCCAAAACTGGTTCAGATCCTGCCTACCTCCCTTCCTAACTGTGTAGCCATGGATAGAGAAGTGGCTCAATCTCTCTGAAACCGATAAAAGGAAGGCAACTTACCATTTACCTCACAGGGGTTACAGTGAGGACTAAGTTAAATATGACAGCTCATATAAAAGCACCTAGCAGTGTGACTGACATATTAGGTGCTCAATAAACACTATCTCCCTTCTCCTGTTACCAGACATACCATGGTTCTTACAGGTACCAAACTGTCCAGAGGCTACAGGGGGAAAGAGAGAGCTCATGGATCCTTCCTGGACCTCTCATTTAGGATCTCTCCCTTGTTACAAATAGGGGATACGGTGGGAGACACAATAATTCCAATAAGTGATCCATATGACCAAATGACCCATAATGAATGTGGGAATCAGTAGGCTTTCATGGGGCTACTGTTCTCAAGAGGTAGTACTGCTTATTGGCCCAACTCAGCAGTTCTTGAAAAGAAACTTCTTCCTTGTTTTTATATCACCTCTGACATGATAGGAGACAGGACCCACTTGCCTCAGATCTTCTCTGTCTTCCCATCAATAAATGGAACATCTACAAAGGGAATAAAAGAACTCTGTTTGGAAATAAGTCACCATGGCTGAATGTATTATTTTCAATGTGGGTTTCAATTAGGAGATTTAATAAGCGTTATGAAAACACTACTTCCTCTCAGCACAATGAAAGCCTTATTGAGCACTGAGCATCTTACCTTGACTTTTTCACCATTAATCTCCACCGTCTTAATCATAAAATCAACTCCAATCGTGGCTCCTTGTCCTGGGGGGAAAAGACCCTAAAGACAACATAAAGGAAAATAATTAAGCAAATCTTTCAGTTAAATGAAATTCTCTCCCTTCTCCCCGCTCACTACACACCACCAGCCCCTTCCTTTGGCTGAGTTGAGATTTAGAGTCATGGGAGTCGTGCTGAATTTAATTCTGTATGTATGCTTTGAGGGGAGGAGGAAGGAGGGAGAAAGTAGGAGCGAGGAATGCTAAGAGAAGAAAGAGAGTGAAAGGGGGACGTGAAAGGGGGAAGAAGACAGAGAGGGTGAAGGGAGAGAACTGGGAAAGGGCGAGGGGACCAATTTCAAAGACTGAAACAGAACTCAGACACAAGGATAAGACCGAGGAGCACGAAGCCGCAGGGATGAGATCAGGATTGTTAGAAGAGGAGCAAAATGGACAGGTGCTCCCAGAGAGGTGCAACCCAGGAAGATTAAAACTGGTTATCAGTCTAGGGCATGGACAGCCATGGGAGTGGACCACTGACACGAACAAACAAGAACATGCTACAGGAAACATGAGCGAGGCAGTGAAGCTTTTGAATTTCCCTCTGCTCTGAGGGTGAGAACTATTTCCCTCAGTGCAATGTACCACACATATGTAATTACATGAAATCGGGGCCCTTGACCCTGGAAAGATCATGGAAGAAAATAAAATCATTCAGGAGAAAGTCAAGTGGGAACAGCACTAAATCAGGAGGCTGGAGGATCTCTGTGTGGCCTCAGGCAAATCAGTCCCCCTCTCTGGGCCTCGAATTCAATGAGCATTTCAAAAGAAAACAAAAGAAAACAAAGCTGTACCTCAAACTGGATGCTGAGCTAGAAAGATAGGATTTTAGCAAGATTCCATGTATAATGTAGGTTACTGGTATATAATATTTCCTGGAGGCTTAGGGAAAGACCTGGAGGTAGGAAGGAATTCTAATAAGGAAGAGTTCTTCACCTAGTTTCTATTCCCTCCTCACTGATATTCCAGAATTGCCAGAAATTAAAGTAAAATGGACTCTATTAGTTCTGGCGGCTAAGATTGGGGCATCTTTAACTAAGTCTGTTCCCTAACAAGAGAGTTCTTTAATTAAAGTTTGAACTTAAAAGACTGAGCTTCAAACCCACAGAAAATATTCCACTGCATGTCCGCAAAAGATGTAAATATAAACATTCATAACTGTACGTAAAAAAATATTGAATCAATTTTCCTCTATTTTGGTTTGGCTCGAACACAAGGCTGCCAAGTTTCGAGTTTATCACTCCAGCTGTTTTGCAGTCTAATAAATGCCAAAAAATAAAACAAATCCTTCCCAATGTCTCCCTCATCATTTTGTTCCCCAACTCCTCATGCCTCAAAAACAGCTGAATCCAATTCATTTTAACTGCCTGCTAAATAACAAAACCAAACATAATACTGTCTAGGGAATGTGACTTTTGGGGGGAGGTAAGGGGCTGGGAGGGGTAAAAAGTAGAAAAGAAAGGGGTGGTGTGCTTATTGGTAGAAATTAGTCTTCAAAAATGGAAGCATTTTTGTCATTTACCTTTAATGACAAAGTTTATTTTTTTAAAGAGAAAAGCCAGATTCCTATGGTCTCAGAGGTTAGGTCACCAAAAGTAAAAATGATCAGGCTAAGAACCAGGAGACGTGGGTTCTAATCCTAGCCTCGCCACTAACAGGATGTGCGATGCTAAGAAGTCATTTTGTCCCTGCAGACCTCAATTTTGCATCTATATAACGGGAGGAGTAGACTGAGTAATCTCTAAGGGATCTTTCCTTAAATAATAAGACAAGGTCAAGGGAACTTTTGATAAAGAGACTAAAAACTCCTCCACGTCTCTGCAGGCTTGTCTTCCTGCAAAAAGCAGAAAAGATTACTGCTAGGTGGAAGTAAAACCAGCTGGAGTTTCCAGTATCACGGCATGGCGGCTGACTAAAAGCGGATGCCTGGTAGCTTCTTACTTTTGATTTCTCCAGGCCCAGGCTTAGTAAAAAGCACAAGTTCTCTTCTGAGTTCGTTTACCCTGGGAAAAACCTTGGCATTTCCAAAGGTGACTCTCTGCCCTAAAGCGGCCTGTATTATCCTGTCCAGTTTTGCACAGAACCACAGACTGTCAGTGTTAGAAGTAGCTTTGCAGGTCACCAAGCCTCTCCTGTGTGGCAGGGAGGCAGGGAGGCCAGACAGGGGAGGGAATGGAACCCAGGTTCACAGGATGAGCCAGGGCAGAGCTGGAACCAGGACCCAAGTCTCCACACTCCAGCTAGTACTCTTTCCACAGCACCCGGCCGTCTTATGCCTTAGCGGGGCTAGTCTCAGCGTCCCAACTAGCACTTTATGAAAATGTAAGATGCATGCATGATAATCCTGAAAAGGATGCCATTCATATTTTTCCAGGGAAAACACAAAAGAAGGTCAACTTCAGAATGATTTCTCACTCATTTCTGTATAAAAACAGGCATATAATCTCTGGCAGTAATTCTCAAAAGGGCAGCCCCAAAGGGGACTTGTACTTAGATCATACGATAAGGACTCAGTCCAGAGGGAACATTTAATTTCATCCAGATAGTCCTTCACTGTTCTCGTTTCATTCCCATTTAATAGACTTAAAAACATCAGCATATTTGGTTCTAAACCAGAATGACTCACTCAGCTGCCTAGGAGGATGTGAGAGGGCATAGGCAGGAAGTTTGATTGGTTTAATTTGTATTTGAGTTTCTTAAAAAAATTAATATTTAGGTTTAGTCTGAAGTCCAGATTCATTTGTTAACACCTTTAGATTATTGACTGATAATCTATTTTAATCTAATAATCTGTTTTTGATAGTATACACTGAAAGCAAAACCATTTGCTCCTTTCATAAAGGAAGCAACACAAGATGGGGGAGGCTTGGTGGTGACCCCCAGAGCCAGACGCCCTGGAGACGGCTGAAAAATCTCTAGCTTAGGCTATAAAGCCAGCACACTCCAAAGGGCACATTAAGAACCAGCAGCTGAGAGGCCAGCGCTGGGACCAGTCCTCCATTCTCTTATGCTCACCTAACCCCACAGGTTAGACTGAGAAACCCAAACCCGGACTTCCAAGTTCTCTTACCTGAGTGAATCGTCGGACTAGGCAAGTCTTTCCCACACCAGCATTGCCAATTAAAACAATTTTAAACAGGAAATCATAATCTTCCATACTCATTTACACAGCTGCAAGGCAAACACAGGCAAGAGTGAGATGGGGCCTGGTCAGACTTGCCCACAGCGCTCAAGCTGCACCAGCGTTGTCTCCTCAGGAACAACAGATCTGACTCATGTGAAGAGCAATTTAATGCTTCCCTCTGGTGATCTCGACACTGAGAGAGGAACACAGGTGTTTGGTCACAGATGAACTTTACTCCTTCCCAGTCACCTCATGCCACACAGAGTATATGACACAAATGTCCTTTCACCTGGTAACCTTTATTCTTCTAAGTCATCAGGTCACTTCTGTGGTTAAGATCTGTTTTCTTTCAGCATGGAAAGGAGATTACATAGGGCCTATGTGCAGACAAGCTGGGGGTGCAAGGAAGCAGGAACAAAGGGGGAGCCCATCCAAAGCTTCAAGGCTGTTTATTTGCGTACAGTGTATGCCAAGGGACCGGGAGACTGAACGAAGGGGAAGGAACTAGGAAGAAACCTTTCAGTCCCCTGCAAGTCCTGGGCGTCTTGGGGTCCTAACGGTGGGAGTAATGGCCATCTTCCCCTTACCACCAGCCCGCGGCTATACACCTTCTGCGAGCCAGGCTGACGCTGCAGCACCTCCCCAAGTGCCTGTCTGCTCATTCCTAAGGGCTGTGGCATGTGTCACGTCCTCTGCCCAGGAGGCCCTCCCTCCCACCCCTTCTGTGCCACCAAGTCAATCCTGTAAGGCCCAATGCAAGCATCTCTTTCTCTCTGACTTTTCCACTGCTCTTCCCCAAATAAAGTGAAACACTCTCATCATTCCTCTATCCTAAAACTTCAAAGGTCTGCCTCATCCTTGAGGGAAGGGATTATATTTTTCGGCTCTATTTTCCTAGCCCACACACGGGACAGTTATATTTAGCAAATGTGTACTCTGTAGAATTAAAGAGTTAATTAATAGGCCTACTGCTGAAGCGTAGGTCTTAGTTTCTCCAATTGTGCTAAAAAGAATACCACATGCTCTACCTCAGAGAACAGTTGTAAAGACTTTTTTAAAAACTGTACAAAAGAGCCTTGGTACCCACAAAGCTCCATCCTGGTGAAAACTAGTATTATCTCTTGAGTACCTACTATAGTACTATGGTAATCGTGGTAGGAAATATGGAGATGAGCCAGTCTCTGCCCTGGAGACTAATGTGAGAAAAGCTAAACAACTACCACAAAGTTAAATACAATTCAAACCAGCAGTGGAGCTCATTTCATAAGGTACAGGCAGAACAAGCCCGTGGACTCTGGAGGAAGAGGAGGACAACCAGCGAGCCCAGGAGAGAAAGGGTGCTTGGGAGAGCTGGAAGAAGCCCCCAGGTTCACTCCTACAAGCAGAGCTGAAGCTCAAGTGACTGCAGGGTCACAGAATCGAAAGAAAGCCCAGTGCACGGAGACCAGTCAAGTAGCTAGGGGAGCAGATCCCTATGTGGACAGATGATTTCTGTGTGGGTTTTAACTTATCCTTGGAAAGATGACTGACAACCAAGCCAAAATGCATGTGGCAGCTCATGGGGTTCTTTCTCAGTTCGCTGGGACTGTGAAGGAAAAATAGTTCTCAGTCAAGAATCTGGGGCCATAAGCAGTGTTGAGTTCACTAATACGCCAGGCACTATACTTGGCACCTTAGGGATATTTCCATTTGTTTTTATAAGTCTCTGAGGCTGGTATTTATTACTATGTTACCTAGTTTACAGGTAAGTAAACTGAGGGGACCCTGAAGTCATAAAGCTAATAGCCAGGTGTCACCAAAAGAACTCTAGCCTTGGAGTTGGAGAAACCTAGATTCAAATCCTGGCACTACTATCTTCTAAGTCTATGCCTCTGGGTAAGTGAAAATTCTGGGGGGCCTCAACTTCCCCATCAACAAAATGGGGCTAATAACACCTTTATCACAGAGTTGTGATGCTTGCAGGGATTTCTGTCTCCCAAGGACAGTACCTGGTTCTTAGTCACCCAAACTCCTCAATATGACAGTGGTTTCCATGGTCTGGCTTCTGCCTTCACTCCCGGCACCTACCTCTCACCACTCTGCTCACACTCTGTGCTCTAGGCTCACTGGATTTCTTCAGTTCCTTAAATGCCATAGGGCAGCTTTCCCCTTCAGACTTTCACAAATACTGTTCCTTCTGCCCAGAACACAGGACACAACCTCCCCTCACCACCTCCAGCCCAGCTAACTTTGAGTTCTTTCAATTTCACTTAAACGTCACTCTCTAGTATGCTTCTTTGACCTGGGGGGAGGCCGACCCCCTGCTATAAGCTCACATGATACCCTTCCCCATCCTATAGTCATACTCAGCATGTTTTACTGTACTTATTTATTGACAGCTGTCTTATGCTCCAAGTCCATCCCTCAGCATCTCCATCCTACACACACACACACACACACACACACACACACACACGTGCATGACTGTAAGCAGCATGGAAGCAATGATGTGTCTATCTGGTTGAGTCCCCATCCTAACCCCTCCCCATTATAGTCACTGTCATCCTTGCCACTATCATCATCATCATCATCATCATCATCATCATCATCTCATTCTACATTATTAACTCATTTAATCCTCACAACACTCCTAATAGGCGGACACTATTAGCATCCTAATGTGATATATAGGGATACTGAGGCACAGGAGAAGTTAAATAAGAAGTCATTAAGGTCCCACTTAACTGGTGGAGCTGAAATTCAAACGCACGTAGCCTAGGTCCAGCCCCGGTGGACGTCCTTGACACACTACCTGTGGTACCTTTCCCAATGCCTGGCTTGTGGCAGACACTTAAGAAAAATCTGATGAATTAAATGATAAAGGGCAAGCACCCAATAAAATGTGATTTCCTTTTTCTCTTCCCCTCTGGCTTCACATCCAAAACTCTTTCCACCACACTGTAGTAGTTTAAATAAGAATCAAGGACAGATTCCGGATGAAAACTCAGGGACGTGGTATGTTAACTAAAATTCAAGAAAGCTGTTAAAAGTGAAAAGAAAATAAAACTCAGGGAAAGGGAAAAGGATAAGCAGGAGGACGCGAGGCTCTGGGGGCCCCACATGGACCACAACTCACAGGTGTCATTAGCCAGTGAACACGGGAAGCATAGGCCTGGACAGCATCCTTCTGTGCTTAGGTTGTTTGCCACACATTTACTCCTCCATCTTTGGCAGAAGTCAAAGACATAAAGCAGAGCATTCGGAGGAGAATGTCCAAAAAGAAAGGCCTGAGAAACAGGGCTCCTAAGCAGTTTACAGTGCCCGAATTCTGCACCTTCAGGAAAAGGGGAAGAGTTACTCGGTCCGAGTCCGTGCTCACAGTCAGGTCTCATGTGGATACCACCTGGAGAGAGAGAGCCACAGGAGACAAGGTAAGGCCCTCCTCCTTTCTCTAAGAAATTACTTTATAATGCTCTGTTGAATGTTTTGGGCTTTTTTGTTTCTGTGTGTGTGTTTGTGTGTGTGTGTGTATGTGTGTGTGTGTGTTTAATAAACCTCTGGGGAAAATGTTTGGTCTCTTTAAAAATGCAGGCCGTCTGTGACTAAGGTTGGACTGTAAACTCTGGGTTACCTGTGGTGGTTATTGTTCTGTTTCTAATAGAAAAGACATGGTTCTGTGAAAAGCTCACAAGATTCTCTGAAAACTATGCTCTGAGGAAGCCCTTCTGATCGGGAAGTAAGGTAACAGCTCAGGCATCACCAATAACCACGGGATAAGACAGCATCCCAGGAGGGCGAAACCATTCAGAATCAGCTAGTGACATGCTAAGCTGACAACAAAAGTCACACCTTGTCTGGGGAGCAAACATGTCATAAGATATGCTACTGACCAAGCACTATTCTAGGGATTTTATATTCTATCATTGTTAATAATAGTAATCACTGACACTTATTCAATGCTTATAATGTGCCAGGCACTCTTCTGCATGTACTCATTTAATTCTCAACAACAACCCTATGGGGTAGGTATTATTACCATCATCATCCCCAGCTTACAGAAGAGGAAACTGAGGCACAGAGCGGTTATCCTGAAGTCACACAGCTAGTTAGTCTTAGGACCAGGATTCGAACCCAGATCCGTCTGACTCCAAAGCCTGGCTCCTCCTGAAATAGGCTGCTACTGTCCCCTGCCCGATGGTAGTCAGTACTGCTGTACCTGTCTTAAGAGCTGGAGGCACAGTTGAATGGAATCCCCAGGCCCTGTGAGCTGCAATATTCTAGAATCTCCCTCCTCATGAAGCAGCATACCCGCACTGATAGGGCCACACACTGATTCCAGATCATATAAGCACTGCTCCTCCTCATTGTGCCCTCCAAGCCCAGGTCTCTTTTAGGAGCTGGACGCTGACTTTCCCCCAAATACCACTCCCATAATTCATTCATTCATGTAACTAAGTACTGGGCCCAAGGTCAATAAACAGGAAGACTACTCAGATGAACCAGCAAAACCCCAAATTTCAGAATTACCACAATAGCTCAAAATAAATGGACATATGAATACAATTCAAAAAAGGAAAAATAGATGAGGAAAAGAAAAGACTGAGTTTAGGGGGGCACCTGGGTGGCTCAGTTGGTTAAGCGTCCAACTCTTGGTTTTGGCTCAGGTCATGATCTCAAGGTCTGGAGATGAAGCCCTGCGTTGGGCTTGGCACTGGGCATGGATCCTGCTTGGGATTCTCTCTCTCCCTCTCCCTCAGCCCCTCCCTCCCCTAAAAAAAAAGAAAAGAAAAGAAAAAGAAAAAAAATGAGTTTAGAAAAGATATAGGAAAGAATATATACTATGAAAAGAAAAAAAATTCTAAAACAATGTGATTTTTGCAACATAAACCATTTATCAAAGTGACCTTTTAAAAAAAATGACACTGTATTCACTGTTGCACATCAGTACACTTTTCCCCTAGCCGTTCAGGGCTCAGTATAACAGATAAACTCAAGGATTCTGGCGAACAGAGGCCTGATCCCCTCCCCCAGCCCTGCTCCAGAAAATTATATTCTGGGGACTTGTCCT